ATTCTCTAATCTTTTATAGCAGTCTAAATCAATTACAAACCTTATTGTCACTATCTTGGCTACTAGTGAAAAGGTCTCTTTGTAATCCATTCCTTCTTTTTAAGTGTATCCCTTAGCAACGAGTCTTGCCTTATATCTTTCAATGCTTCCGTCCGAATTACACTTCACCTTGTATACCCACTTGTACCCTATGGGTTTCTTTCCTCTCGGCAATGTCACTAGAGCCCAAGTCCCGTGAAGTTCAAGTGCATGCATTTCTTTCTATACGACTTCAACCCATCTAGGACCCTATTTGGCCTCATGGTAATTGTTTGGTTCTATAGCATTGGCTAGAGTTGATATATAGGCTTTGAAAGTGGGTGTTAGGTGTTCATAAGTGATATAATTTGTGATAGGATAGTTAGCTTTCTTTCTTATCCTGATTGAGTCAGCTTCCGTGGATTGTAGGACACCGATAATCACTTGACCAAACCGGTGGTTGAGTTATCCTAGTAGATCTTTTAAATGTTCAAGTGAAGAAGATGAAGGATTTTGTGTTTCTATTTGGAAGAAAATGTTTGGTTGTTGAGTGACTCGGTGTTTATGCAATAACATGAGAATGTGTGATTTGATAATTTGATACTAGAGTTGATTCATCAAATAGAAAATCATTAAAGTGGTTTTGATTTTGAGTTTAATTCTTTGGTTTTAACTCAAAAGAAAATATGTTTTCATAGAATAATACATCTCCGGACACATAAAACTTCTTTAAATCCATGTCATAAACCTTATAACTCTGATCGACCAAAAGGATATCCAACAAACATGCATGGTTTTGATCCTGGACTCGAATTTGTCGAATTATTTAAGGTTTTCACATAGCGAGAGGGTTCCAAAAATTCTCAAGTGATCTATTCTATGTGTTATTCCAAAAATCATTTCATAAAGAGTTTTGTAATTCAAAAATAGAGTAGGAACTCTATTTATCAAATATGTAGCTATTAAAATACAATCTCCCCAAAAATATTCAATTAGCACATTTGATTGAAACATAAAAGATCTAGCTACATTGAGTATGTATCCGTATTTCCTCTCAACTCTTTCATTTTATTGTGGTGTATAGGGTATGATACTCTCATGAATAACTCCTTATTTTTTCCAATTTTTTTTTTGCATTCATGATTCAAAAATCTCTTGCTCTATCTATTCCGATTCTTTTGATGGTTTTGGCAACCGTGTTTTAATAAGGTAAAAGAAATTTCGATGGTGGTCTTAGCATCACTTTTGAAGTTTGTAAGACAATATTTGGCTCCATTATGTGTAGGTGTTCTGTAGGGTCTCTAAATGTCAAGGTGTAGTAATTCAAAAATGTCTTTTGTTTTGGTGGGTGTTTTAGGAAAAGGCACTCGGTAGTTTTGCTAGTGGAAATATGGGGCATTCTGTTTCTTCATGCTTGCATATATCCCTAAAGGTTGGTAAAAATTTGAGTCTTATGTTGCTAGAATGTCCGAATCTCTTGTGCCAAATATTGCATTACAACTTGATTGAAAAATATTGTTACTAACAACTCTAGAAACAAACGCGACATAAGAGGAAAAAATCTAAGAATTTGTGTTTTGTTGAGGCATGAGAATTTGTGATGAATGATCATGTGAAAGTGTTTTTGTCTTGAGATAATATAATCCCTTTTACATCCTATCAATTCCCTTTATCAACCCGATCTTGAGGTCCTAAAATAAGCAAAAGTCTTGGTAAAATGCTACAAAACATTGGTTATCTTTGGTAAATTTTGAAATGGATAATAGGTTAAGCTTAAAATCTAGTATGTCTTGCACATTGGTTAACTTGAAATCCGGGGATAAAGGTATGGTACTTGTGTGTGTTGCTTGGGATGATTTACCATTTGGCAATTAGACCTCTAAATGTTTTGAAACTACATCGAAATTAATGCATTATCATCTAAAAAGACATGTGTTCATTAGCTCTACTATCAATCGCCTAATTTCTTCTCAAACAGTCATTCATTGTATTTGCACAGTAAGTAAAGATACCGCAACATTTGCTGAAATTTAGCTTGAGGTTGATCCTTTCCCAGCATTAGATTCTCGCTCTAAGCAAATGCATAATTTGATTGTATTGCTCGTCGTGTGAAAATTGATGCATTTTCCATTGTCTAACTTGCTTGCTCTTCCTTGTTTAAATCCAAGTTGCCATACTCGCCACTCCATAGTTAGACCGATTTGCATGATAATTCTCCCTCCATTTCCTGTACCACATGGTCTTCCTTCTCCTCTTCTTCGTCCGCTTGGATAGCCCACCAATTTGTAATAATCTTTCTTCAATTGTCCTGTCGTGTGACGGTGGTCACACGTGACAAGTCTTTCCTACTCATATTCTCACTTTTGGATTGATTGTTAGAGTAGAAGCTTGCTGGTGTTTTATTAATTGAATGTTATTGGAGATAGTCCTTTAGGATTCTTCACTACTTACTATAGAAAAAGCTTGAGTGTGTGTAGGCAATAGCATCATCAAGAGGATTTGTGATCTCACATTTGCATCACTCTCATTTAAACCAATTAAGAACTCGTAACATTTTTACATGCTATATGTGTTCTAGATACAACTTTGAACTTGGACATTCACGAGTTCGAAACATCATTAAGGTTTCAAATTCATCCCATAGTTTTCTCAACTTTGAGTAATATGTTGACACAGAGAGAGTACCTAGCATTATGTGTGAGATTTCTCTGTGTATGACAAATATTTGAGGACCACCGACTTTTTCAAATCTCTCATTGAAATCTTTCCATACCATCTCTGCGGACTTGTAGTAGACCATTGCATTATAGATCTCCCGTGATACTATGTTTAACAACCAAGCAAATACTATGTCATTATATCTTACCCAATATGGATACATGGGTTAAGTTGGATTTGGTTTTTCACGAGTTCCATCAACAAAGCCATATTTATTCTTTGCTTCAAGAGAGATCTTCATAGCTCTAGACCATTCACCATAGTTCTCCATTCCTTTAAGCTCCAGATCTTTTGGAACCAATATCAGATTCAATGTATCAAAGGCATGAATGTGAAGAGGGTTTGTGAAATCAATGGTAGCTATTTTGTTTCTTATGTTTTCTTATATGGTCATGATCATAGAGAGAACATTTTTAGGGTTTTAGCTGATAAAAGATGGCTCTGATAACATGTTAAAATGTAGAATAGTAATGTAGAACACAATGAAGAAATGCTCTTTATTGATGATTTCAGAATCATGCCTTGCATTACATTGTTATTTGCTTTATATATAAACACGGTACATTCTAGAACTTTGACAAAATAAAAAACTAAATAACTAACTCCCTAATTTGATATTTTATGTGTGCCAATCATTGACTGGTGCAGGCCACGAGGTGCAAGATTCTCCTAGGTCCTTGGATCAGTTGACAAGTGGCAGCAGTTGTAATCTCTATGTCTGCGTAGCTCAGTCATTGTAACAAACACTTGGTGAGCCAGGTTGGTTACACCTAACTCTGCTCTTCATTCTTCCCGTAGTGCTTCCATGCATTTCACTATGCATTTTATCATCCCCTGCAACTTGCATATATATATATATATATATATACACACACACATTAACACCATTACATCTAAGATGACTGAAGAAAAAAATAAAAAATTAATATTACCGCTAACTAATATAATAAAAAATTGTTCTTTATGAAAGAAAGAGCGGGAGATACCCTGCACGGTAAAACATTTGCATTATGAATGTCACATATTAACATTATTATTCTTTTTTACAAACTACTTTAAATTATTTTAAAATGTATTAATTGTTCATCACTTTTTGTTTATTAAAATTTTATCTCCCTTCATTTTTCATTGAATAATACTTCTCACCCTCATTTTTATTTACTTTTTATTTTTTTTTAAAAGTTTAACCGGCTATATTAATTATAAAATAAACAATAATTAATCTATGTTCATTTCATTTTGTTATGGATTTATTTTATATTTAAATATTTCATTTGAGTTATGAAAAATACTTTCTATTTTGCATGTTATATGTTAAATTTTTTAATCAATTTTTTAGTGAACCCTAAATAATGAAAATTTTTTTTCATGACATAACCAAACTTAGTAAAATAATTCTTTTCCTTAGAATTCATTTTTCAATGAATAAGTGAGACCTAAAATAAAGTTGATAAATCTAAAATTCTATTCTTACAAAATGTAATTTCCAACTCATTTTTTATGACACGACTATATGCCTGAAAAAGATTTTCAATTTATTTTTTATGGTGGATACAATCAAACAATATCAAAAACCATTTTTTTTTATGTATTTCATTTTCCAGAAATAATGCAATTTCTGATAGGGATCCTACTAATTGTATATTTTGGATTCTCTCTCCCCTCGCACACACATGCATATTTTGGATTATAAATATTATTGGTCCGGTTTGTAATCTTATAATTAATTTTTATATAAATTTAATTGAGAAATAAACAAAACAGTAGGTAATTAAAATTTTGTGATCATTTCTAAAAATTATGGTGTGCATGTACATTTCGAGTGTGATATATGGTCCAAATTTAATAAATGATCAAACGGTGAAAGAAAGAAACATATATGAAGGATTTCAATATATACAATATCAAGAAATATGAAAAATTGAAAATATGGAAATTGACATTTTAATAGTTAGCTAAGCTTTCAGCTTTTAGGCATGAGGAAGATTCCTCCCCTTAAGAAAAAGAAGAAGTGAGCATGTCATTATCCTCTCTGTCTCTCTGATTGAATGGCAATAAAATAATGAACTAATTGATTTGGACTGATTCAATTAGGTTATTCTATAACATCTGATGTAAACATGCTATGCACGTCAAAGAAATGAATGATGCAATTTCGTAAGAGAAGAGTTTATTGTCATGTCCGCGTTTGATATATATAGGGGCCAATGAGCTCCATTTACTTGCATCTTCGTCAACAGATACATAATTACATCCATATTCCAATGAAAAAACTCTTCTCAAAACTTTCCAACACCAAGGTATGTGTAATAATTATACTTCATGCTTCATACTTATTGTTTTCTGTTATTAAATCGAGATCTAGGCACACATGAATTCTCCATCAATCTTTATATATATAATAAGTACATCATAGTTGCCCAATGTAGGAGCAGAATCAGATCCTCTTTATTCTTCCTCTTTTTTTTTGATTTGCGAGATTCATTCTTGTAGAGAAAAATATATAACTAATTAAACTATTTCATATATGTACCTGACAAATCCTTCTTGTTGTTGTTGTTGTGGGCGGATTTGGTAGATGCTGTTCAATTTAGATTTTTCAAGTAAAAATAAGAAATTGCTAGAGTATTTTATAAAAGTCAATGATTTTTTTCTTACAATCATGTTGTTCTACCAGTTTACTGATGTACAGGTTAAGCCTTACGTTAATGTTGGTTGTCAGAAGTGTGCCGCATGTGTGTCTGAAATTGTGGATCTAACTGCGAAGTTAACAGCAAAAGATACTCATATAACACTCCTTAATAGGATGTTAGCTCTTAAAGAGGAGGAAATATCCCGTCTTAAGGATCAGCAATATCTGACAGATAAAAAACTCAATAAGCTCTGGGCTGATGTTGAGTTTGTTTGGAAGGAGTTTGAGCAAGTTAAAATTAATGAAGATGAAGAAGGTTCTGACAATTGTGATGGTAAGCTTAATAAGTCTGAGAAGCAGAAAACGCCTGCAAACCGAGATGGCAGACCTCAAAGCCCCGCCTTGCTTCCCCATATTTACAAGAAACCTCCTAGTTTTCCGGTATTAAAAGGCGATTCACCTCCACCTATGGAGCAGAACATCCCGGAAGCAGCTCCAAGCAGTCATATCTCAACTCCATCTAATCACGACAGAGCTCCGCCTCCACCTACGAAAAATATCAAAATGGAAAACAATTCAGGAGCTCCTCCTACAGAAGAACTGATCGTCATGGCAGGTCCAATTAATCATGATTTATCTCCTGATCAGTGTGTTCCCACCTTTCGCGATGATTTACCTCCGAGTACAGAGGAAAAGTTTACAGTGACAGCTCCAAGTAGTCATGCCGAAGTAATAGAAAATGGAGCAAGGGAATGGTGTTCCTTTATAAATTATTTGAGATTAAAAAATGATTAAAGAGCTTTTTGTCGCTGTCTCATTGCATTAGCTTTTCTGCAGTGGAGTTCTTTTATAAATTCGTTTTTGGCTTGTAAGAAGAAACCTAGAAAATAATTTATCTTAGTTATTTTATAAATTCGTCTTATATATATATACATATATATCATGAATTCTTAGAATGTTTACATAATAGTTGCATATATACAAATAAATACTTATTTATTCTAAAAGGTTAAAATTGTATTTCAAATAATTTATCTTAATTCACTAGATATGGTCAAGACATATAAAAAAAAATTATTGATTCGTTCATTGTATTAAAAATTAACTACAAATCTTCCAACATAATATAAATTATTTACTATAAATATTTTTTTTAACATTATAGAACCAATTTATTCGAAATAAGATAATTAATATAATTTTTTAAAGGAACCAACCAGTTATTCAAATATTATTTTTTATTCTAATTTTATTGATTATTTTGTTAATAAATATATATAGATCAAATACATATACTTGAAAAAAAATTAATCTTCTCACCAACATTAAATAAGAATAAAATTTTATTTTTTCATTGGTTAATTCTTATGCAAGTCTATACATTAATTGTAACTTTATTTTTTAAATTCATTCTTATAAAAAATATAATTTTAAAGTATTTGTTTTTGAATTCTTAATTAATTTTTTATGTTTAAATTATTAAAAGTTTTTATTTAAGAATTTCTAAATGACGAAGAATAAATCATGCTTTTTAAGCAGAAATATTATGAAAAACACACAAAAATAGTAATAATTAAATAAAAATTATTACATTTTGAAATGATTTTGTTCTATTTACCAAGTAGTGTTGTGTAGATAATTTCAAAAATTATTTTTTCTCATCAGCATTAAATTAGAATTTTTTTCATTTGTTAATTTATGTCAAAAACTATCCATTAATTATAACTTTTTTTTAGAATACAATATTGTGAAAATTATATTTTTAAAGTTTTTTCAATTCTTCATTAATATTTTATTTAAAAGTATTATAATTTTTAATTTTAAAATCAATCCAAAGAGAAGAATGATTTATTTTTTTAAGCATAGAATTCATAAAAACATTAGAAAAAAATTAATTAAATTAAATTAACTATTATAATTAAAAAAATTAAAAATTAAAATAATTTTGTTCCATCGGACTCGCGGCGTAGTGCGAGCAATCGTCTAGTTAGATCTGTACCATTACATCTAAGATGATCGAAGAAAAAACAATAAAAAATTAATGTTACCGCTAACTAATATATGTATAATAAAAATCGTTCTGTACGAAAGAAAGAGAGGGAGACACCCTGCATGGTAAAACATTTAAATTTGAATGTTACATATTATCATTATTATTTTTTTTACAACTTTTTTTTTAAAGTGTATTGTTCATCACTTTTTGTATAACTTTTTGTTTATTAAAATTTTATGTCCCTTCATTTTTCATTGAATAATACTTCTCACCCTCATTTTTTTTATTTTTTAAAAAAAGTTTAACCGGCTATATTAATTATAAAATAAATAACAAGTAATATATATACATTTCATTTTGTTATGGATTTATTTTATATTTAAAAATTTCATTTGAGTTATGAAAAATACTTTCTATTTTGCATGTTATATGTTAAATTTTTTAATCAATTTTTTAGTGTACAATAAATATTGAAAAAAAAAATTCCAATTCATTTTCATGACACAACCATAGTAAAATAATTATTTTCCTCAGAATTCTTCTTTCAATGAATAAATGAGACCAAAAAGAAAGTTGATAAATCTAAAATTCTATTCTTACAAAATGTTATTTTCCAACTCATTTTTTATTTCACGAGTAAATACCTGAAAAAGATTTTCAATTTATTTTTTATGATGGATACAACCAAACTATATCGAAAACCATTTTTTTATAGATTTCATTTTACAGAAATAATTCAGTTTCTGATAGGGATCCTATTAATTCTGTATTTTGGATTCTCTCTCCCCTCGCACACACATGCATATTTGGGATTATAAATATTATTGGTCCGGTTTGTAATCTTACCATTAATTTTTATATAAATTTAAGTGAGAAAAAAAATATTAGGTAATTAAAATTTGTCATTTCTAAAAATTATGGTGTGCGTGGAAATTTTGAGTGTGATATCAATTGGTGAAAGAAAGAAACATGTAGAATTTCAATATATACAATATCAAGAAATATGAAAAATTGAAAAGATAGAAATTGACATTTTAGTAGTTAGCTAAGCTTTCAGCTTTTAGGCAAGAGGAAGATTCCTCCCCTTAAGAAAAAACAAGAAGAAAGGGAGCATGTCATTATCCTTTCTGATTTAATTAGGTTATTTTATAACATCTGATGTATATATGCTATGAGCGTCAAAGAAATGAATGATGCAATTTCGTAAGAGAAGAGTTTATTGTCATGTCCGCGTTTGGTATATATAGCGGCCAATGAGCTCCATTTACATGAATCTTCGTCAACAGATACATAATTACATCCTTATTCCAATGAAAAAACTCTTATTAAAACTTTCCAATACAAAGGTATGTGTAATAATTATACTTCATGCTTCATACTTATTGTTTTCTGTTATTACATCGAGATCTAGGCACGCATGAATTCTCCATCAATCTTATTTGCATTTGAAGGTATGCAATATTATTGGATTCTAAATTTTGTCAGTTCTAAAAATTATATATGGTGTACGTGCATGTACATTTTGAATGTGATATACGGTCCAAATTTAATAAATGATCAAACGGTGAAAGAAAGAAACATGAAGGATTTCAATACAATATCAAGAAATATGAAAAATTGAAATAGTTAGCTAAGCTTTCAGCTTTAGGCACGAGGAAGATTCCTCTCCTTAAGGAAAAAGAAAAAAAGGGAGCATGTCATTGTCCTCTCTCTCTCATTTTTGAATGGCAATAAAATAATGAACTAATTGATTTGATTAGGTTATTTTATAACATCTGATGTATACATGCTTTGCGCGTCAAAGAAATGAATGATGCAATTTCGTAAGAGAAGAGTTTTTTGTCATGTCCGCGTTAGATATCTACAGCGGCCAATGGAGAAATATTATAAGGATGTAATTATGTATCTGTTGACGAAGATGCATGTAACTGGAGCTCATTCCTACCGATTAATTTTATAATTTTTAAGAAGTAATTAATGATATATATAATGATTATTTAATAAATTTATATTTAAAGAGATAAATATATGAAAAAAAAATCAATTTATATTTAAGATTTTCATATTCTTTTTTTCCCCATTAGATATTCTTGATTGCTAGAGTAATTTATAAAAAATGATTTTTTCCTTACGATCATGTTGTTCTGCCAGTTTACTGATGTACAGGTTACGCCTTACGTTAATGTTGGTTGTCAGAAGTGTACCGCACTTGTGTCTGAAATTGTGGATCGAACTTCGAAGTTAACTGCAAAAGGTATTCATATAACACGCCTTAATAGGATGTTAGTTCTTAAAGACGAGAAAATATCCCGTCTTGAGGACCAGCAATATCTGGCAGATACAAAAATCAATAAGCTCAGGGCTGATGTTGAGCTTGTTTGGAAGGAGTTTGAGCAAGTTAAAATTCATGAAGATGAAGAAGGTTCTGACAATTGTGACGGTAAGCTTAATAAGTCTGAGAAACAGAAAACGCCTGCAAACCGAGATGGCAGACCTCAAAGCCCCGCCTTGCTTCCCCGTATTTACAAGAAACCTCCTAGTTTTCCGGTATTAAAAGGCGATTCACCTCCACCTATGGAACAGAACAATATCCCGGAAGCAGCTCCAAGCAGTCATGGCTCAACTCCACCTAAAGAGGAAAACATCATGGTTGCAGCTCCATCTAATCACGACAGAGCTCCGCCTCCACCTAAGAAAAATATCAAAGTGGAAAACAATTCAGGAGCTCCACCTACAGAAGAGCTGATCGTCATGGCAGGTCCAATTAGTCATGATTTATCTCCTCGGTATGTTCCCACCTTTCGTGATGATTTACCTCCGAATAGAGAGGAAAAGTTTACAGTGACAACTCCAAGTAGTCATGCCAAAGTAATTGCAAATGAAGATGGAAAACTACAAAGTAGTCTTCATGGTTTTCAAAGGCCTCCTACTCCAATTCCTTATTATCGGGTTTATGTCCCGAGGAAGAGGAAGAAAAACAAGAACATTATTATTTAATAAAATGGTTACACATTACTCTTTCTAGATTAATTATTGTTATTGTAAAGAACTTAAAACTTTATAGGTTACAATAAATGCTAATGATAGACTAATTGATTATTTATCAGTTAATGAAAAGTCCAATAAAAAAAATGCATGCTGGGAAAATCTTTTTTTATTTAGTTCTCCAACTCCAAATGAGTTTGATTGAGGCCTTCGGCGTCTTAAGTGGTTGGGCCGCGTTAGCCTAGGCGCTCGGGCCTACTCGCCTCCAAACCCATGCGTGTGTGACCGGGCACATGATGGCCCAGCTTTTTTTTTTTTTTTTTCTATTAATGTTTTTTAATTATTTATTGTTGGATCAAAATAAATTTTTTCTCAGTAATAAATTTTTATTTTGTGTTTTTTTTTAAATCATTGATTAAAATTAAACTTTCTTCGAATATAAATTAAATTAACCTCCCTTTAGTGTTGGTTTTGCCTTCTTTTGATTATTGACCTTTCTAATTTAATTTTTTAATCAATAATTAATTGTATATTTTTATTAATTAAAATCAAACATATTCATAGTATTCTCAAACATGAATTACAGATATGGTTAAATACTACAAATTACATTAAATTAAAAAAATCATTAAATATTAATATTGATCTATTTTTATTTTATTCATTTAAAATTTTAAATTAAGTGAATTGTTCAAACAAATAGTATTACTTGTGACAATACTTATAGGGATAATATTCTAGTTAATTACAAGCTTTCATTATAAAGTTAAATAGTTAAGATTGAACTTCATTAAAAAAAAAAAACACTTAAGCTTCTTTATGATAGATATGTTCTTTAATATTCTTTTTTATTTGCGAGTCCATTTTTTAAAATCTATTAAGTAATTTGAGTTTTATGATTCTATAAATTTTTATGATGAGTGGTCATTTTTTAACTTTATATATTAATCATCTTTAATTTAATAATTTATCGTCAAACATTGTAAAAAAAAAAAAACTAAAAGAATCGAGATATTGACTATTCATTTCTTGTATCATGGCTTTTATTTCTTGAATTTTTGTGGGCAATGATATGGAAATTGCAAATTTTTATACTTTGGTCCCTAATATTTTCAAACATTTTGTTTCGATCCATATCTTTATTTGCTAATACATTTTGGTTCTTGAGTATAGAGAGGAGGGAGGAAAGAAGAGAGAGACGGGAGGAGAGAGAAAACATCGATCAACCTTATTTCGACCACTTTGATCGGCGAAAACTCCATTAGGCTTTTTTATCTTTTAGAGCTGAGTTTGTTTATAGTGGTTTTAAGCCATGAAATGATAGGAGGATGCGGATCGGAGGCAAAAAAGAAAAAATCCGATTTGATTATGCTTTTTTTTTTTAATGTGCATTAAAATAAGTTTTAAGGCCTTACAAGTATTTATTGACTTTATTTTGATCAATTAAAGGTGTTTAGTAGAAAAAATAATGCAAATATTGATTTTTTTAGGGTCTAAAAATGGACCTCCGATTTTCCGATGAAGCTTTCTACAAGCTCAGCTCGCTGGATGTTCCAGACTTTTTTTCCTTGGGTCGGCACATGCTTAACCCTTTTTTTTTCTTTGGGTCGCTAGCGACCTAGGCTCGGAGTGGAGGAAGCTGGAGCGACTCGGCGCACGAGCCTAGCTCACGGACTCACAATCGTTGGGCTGGGTTGGCTGCAGTGCCCGCCCTCCGTTCCTTTTTTGTTTTTCTTCCAATAATTTATTTTTATATTTTTTTATCATCAAATTAGGTGCAAAATTATAGAAAATAGATCATTATTTTTTTTAGTTTTACATTTAGTTTGACATAATAGAATATATATGACATTTTTTAAATATTTTAGTTTGATTATTCTTATTGTTTTAAATTTTATTTCTTCAATTGTTTGTTTCTTATTAAAATTCTCATCCAATTAATTAATTTTTATTTTTTGATATAATTTTATTTGTTAATAATTTTTTTTATAAATGAATTTTGAAATAAAATTTTGGAACACGATTGTGTTATTTTTAAAAATATATTATTATTATCTATAAATTAATTATTTTTATAATTTTTAAATGAGATTAATGTAGTTGCATGTATAAATTCGATGAGAGAAAGAGAGAACTAAAAATGTGTTTTAATTAGTTTGACTCAAAGTTTTTTTAAAAAATTAATAATTAGTTAAAAAAGAATTTGTACATTTTATTTGCTTATATATATATATATATATATATCCGTGTAGATAACACCGATTATTTGTTATTTATTTTTTTCATATTCTAAAATCTGTATTTTTAAATAAAATCATTTAATTAATTTTTTGAAAGAACCTCTCAATTATTTAAGTACAAATTTTTATGCTAATATTATAAATTATTTTGGTAATAAATATATATAAATCAAACAATTTTGCTCAATATATAGATTCAATTTATATTAATCGCTAGAAACAAAATTTCTACTCATATCACACCCGATAATGCTTAATATACATGTGTTTAAATTGCTAAATTCCCATACATTTTATTATTTTGAGATGTCTAAATGATAAAACTTAACCGTCTTTTGTATTCTATGTGCTAGGTGTGGAACTAATTGAAAAATGGCGTTAAAAGAATCATGTAAAGAGAATTTATGATCAAAACCAATTAAGCCACTCGGAAAGCACAAGAAGCGTGGGCATGTTAAGAATAGTAGCGTGGGCATGCTAATACAAGAAACATAGATACACCAGCACGAGAAGTGTGGGCACGTTAAGAATAGAAGCGTGGGCACGCAGATGCAACGAAATAGACGCACAAGGACATGAAGGCGTGGGCACATTGCAACTTGATACGGGCAAGTTGAAATCCGTGAAACGGACAACGTGACTTCGTAAAGAAACAAAATTTGTTGCGATTTGCCGGAAAAAGATGCCGACCTACCAAAAGAGGAGAGAATATTATGTACCCTTTTTGAAAAATATACAACTCCGTATAAATAGAAACCTAGCAGAATAGGGCAGTAACTTTTTGATTATTCTCATAAGAGGTAGCTTTATTTTCTCTCTCTCTCATGCTCGTGGCTACTGTCATGAGTAGCTAAACCCTTTTTCTTGGTGAAGGTAATCGAAGCTTTTGGAAATCAAAGATTTTGAGGTGCTTAAACATTAATATAAATCAGTTTATTTATTTCAAGTATTGAACTTTCTTCTATGCTCATTTTCATGATTATTTAGGTTGATTTCTAATGTGTATATTTGGTTTATTAACTTGGATAATCTATAGTTAGGTCAAATATTGAATCCGTAATTGTTCAATCCCTTTGATTTATGTAGCAACTAGGAGTGTATGGTTTGTCGTGTCGAAACTAATGACTCTTAGGAGGATTGTTTAACTAGATTAAATACAACTACATGTGTTGTGTTGTTTTGCTTTGTCGATCTTTCTAATACATAAAGCCATTGTTTGATTAAATCTTAGATCGTATCTAGTGGTTGTTAAATAATGAGGGTTGATTAGAATACATGTTCCTAGTTGGCTAATTATAAGGAAAGATTGATTTCAATATCATAACAAATATTTGAATGAGAATATGATATTTTGTGCACCAAGGATAAATCTCAAGTTCCAAAAATAGATGTGACCCGAACCAAGGTTTGTTTACTTGAATATTTAGTTTAAACTCATTTTCCGGATTTAATTTGTTTAGTTTTAGTTATATCTCAATCAAATCAAAATCTCTTTTTTATTTATTTCATGTTTCTTCTAGACTTGTGATGATTAACACGATCGAATTCCTCGTGGGATCGATCCCTACTCTCCTTTACTATATTTATGTTATAAGAGTTTAGGAGTTTAATTTGGGTACACATGACAGAGCATAAAACACCAAATTTTGGCACCGTTGTCGTGGAGTTCACGAGTTGTTTATGTACGTCACAAGGTCTAACAATAGCTGAAAACCTACTATTTGACCCGGAAATAGAACACACAGCAAGAAGTCATAGGAAAGCTACATAACAACAGCAGTGCCCATGCCATTACTCAGCAGACAGAACAACAAATAGAGCAACAAACAGAGCAACCAACACCTACCGAAACCATGAAGAATGCACCCGCAAACGAACACTAAGAGAGCTTGCTACCCTCGATTTGGATGAGCAACCTCATTGCATCAACTTTCCTAACTTTGCTCGCCAACACTACCTTTGAATTGAAATCGGGTTAATATATCTTTTGCCTAGCTTTCAAGGATCAGTGGGTGAAGATCCTCACAAACACTTGAAAGAGTTCCATATAGTATGCTCGTGTATGAAATCGAATGGAGTCACCGAAGAGTAGAACAAACCGAGAGTATTTCCTTTCTCTTTGAAGGATGATGCCTAAGATTGGCTCTACTACTTACTCGCTGGAAGCATAACTACTTGGCATGAGATGAAGATGTTGTTCTTGGAGAAATTCTTTCTAGCTTCCGGAGCAACTAGCATAAGAAAAGAAATTTGTGGCATTAGACAACATAATAGAGAGTCATTATATGAATATTAGGAGCATTTTAAAAAACTCCGTGCAAGCTATCCACGTCACTAAATCACAAATCGATTGCTCATCCAATACTTTTATGAAGGACTTTTGCCATTAGACCGAAACATGATTGATGCAGCAAGTGGTGGTGTTTTAGTTGACAAAACACCCGAAGAAGCCAAAACTTTGATAGCAACTATGGCATCAAACACACAAGCAATTTGGAACTAGATTTGAATATGCCCTCGACGAGTAAATGAGGTAAGTGTTTATTCCTTTGAAAAACGTTTTGATGACGTTATTGCTCTTGTGTGTCAATTGGTAGTAGGAAAAATAGAAATAATGAAGGCTTGTGGAATTTGTTCAATGATGGGACATGCAACGGACATGTGTCTAACTCTCCAAGATGATAACCTTGAACAAGCAAATGCCGTAGGAGGGTTCCCGGGACTACCATAACGAAATTATAACCCTTTTTCCAACACATACAACTCGAGTTG